CCCCAAAACCCCAAAACCCCAAAACCCCATACCTAAATATATCTCAAAAAGTTTTAGAATGATTAATAAATTTGTTTGCTATCAATTGTTGTTCCCAGTAGAATTTATATTACTAAGCATTTTCTTGGCATTGTAGTAGTTACTTATTATCTCTTCCTTTTCTCTTTTCGTCATGTTTGTTGGCTTCTCTGAAAATCCTCTTACATCCTTTTGCTCCATCATTTGCATTCTCATTTTATGAATCAAGTCCAAAACCTCAATTTAGGATCTCTTCTAGAATTTGCTATTATTGTCTGAATCTAACCTCTTTGTTATTGGTGATCCTTATTCCAAGCTCCTATTAGATTCTTAATTGTTTTTCTGCAGTTGTTATATCAAATTTCTTGTTTGATATTAACTCTGATCTATCATCGAAGCATTTAAATTTTACTTGATTGGTGGGAGGTTGATATCTTTTCTCATTTTATGATGATTTTTCTAAATTTCAACAAAACTTATATTGTTTCTATTGCTCTTTGCAAGCTTCATCTCCTCTATATGCTTTTCAATTTCTTCTAGTTTAAGGTTTTTCGCAACTGACTTAGACCTGAGGTCACTTGACTTATTATGAATAGATTTTGAAACTTTACTTTTATTTAATGTATCTATGAAAGCATGCCTTGAAATCTTTTGTTCAAGATAGTCTTTCAAATAATTCTAATTAATCACATCTCCGATGTTTGACTCTTCTATTAAAGATTTCTTGCCATAAGCTTAAGTCTAATGATAAGTTTAATAGTTTGACAATGAAGAGGTAGATTTTGGAAGCTGCCCATTTAATTATAATTATTTTCTCTTTCTAATGGTTGAGAGTGATTGAAATTTAGAAAGCTGTTCTAGATCATCCACATTGATGTTAGAGAGATAGATATTTTTGGGCTGGAAGTTTGAGACCTCAGATATTTCCTTTATCTAATCAAGATTCCTACTAAGCAGATTATTATTCTTCTTCTGAGCTTAACTTCTAAAGGGATCAATTCCTCTTCTTTTTTCTTCACTAAGCTCGCAGAACTCATTATAGCTTACTGCATTATTTTAATCAGTATCTAGGTAATTAAAGATCTTCTTAGAATCATCAGCTGAAATTTTAATTCCAAGATGATCTAAGGCGTTATAAAACTCATGATAATTTATAGATTGATTTAAGTTTCCATCAAAGTACCTAAAAGCTTGTGCAAGAGATGTAAATTTCTCCATAAGTTTTGCGCCTACTAAATCCATTAGTTATAAGAGCTTTTGATCTAATTGTTCTCCAGCTCGGAATGAAAAATTTTGTGACTTAATTAGTGACTTGACTTCTTTATCTTGATAGTTTACTAACTAAGAATGACCTCCTCTCTAGTTTGAGTTCATTATAAAGTAAAGCTCATTTGATTAATTTTTATCTTTCCTCGGTCTAACTGGGTGATAAGTATAAAAATCAATCAGTTCTGAAAATTTCACCAAACTAATAGTGTTCTTATCATCATTCTATACTTTAATTAAACAGTTATTTAATCCTACTTTTATCTCGTCCAGTATTTAATCTTCTATATCTATCAATAGATCAGAAACGCATGACTGCTTTATTTTTAAATACTCATCAATAGGTAGCTTGTCCTTTTCCTGAAGAGGTGATTCAAATAATTTGTCTCTTAACTAATTTAATGTTCTGAAATCAACCTTATCTTCATACAGCTTTTTCAATATCTAATGCTTTCTTTCAGATATTTCTCCAGTATCTAGCATCTTTCTCAGATATTCAGCTATTAAAAGATATAAAAATGTAAACTAAATTTCTTACGAGATACTTTGTTTTTATGATTTTACTCCATATTTCTATCCTCTTTTATATTAGTAGTAGTATTAAAATTATCTTCACTCCCATTGTAATTGGGGTATTCTGTAACATATCGCCTCTCTTATCTATCTTTATTGTTTTCATGATCATGAGAAATAAAATCGTTGTATTTATACTTTTCAGGAGACATGTTGATCTTCTTACCCTCCTTCCTCGGAGGTTATAACGGCTGTAAAGGAGTTATTAGACCATTTTCAGTTTCCTCGCCACGTTTTTATTATAAATCTATTATTCTTTAGTCTGGCTTTGGTACAATAAATTGCTTTTTCCTAAGTCTCTCATTTAATATGTGATCAGAGTTATTCTAGTTCAAAGGTAAGTCTTATTATTTTCCTTGTTAAAGAGTAGCATCAAATGTCTTTTGCCTTTAATTGAAAATCTCAAAATCATCTCCTAACTTGATAGCATCTGATGTCTCGTTTTCTTCTAGAATCGGCTCAATTACGAATGACTTCGATAGAAAGCTCTCTTTATTCAGAATTCCTTGGGCTTTCTCTTTAATTCTGATATCTATTGATAAAGAACTATAGTTTGATGATCTTGATGAAATTTGTGATCTTAGATCATTAAAGTTTCCTCCCTTTGCTTAATGTTTTTATCCATTGTTTGATTTAGTCACAAGCCACTCCGAATTGAAAGGATCTAATATATCCTTATTCACTTAGATATATTTAAGCACTTCTTTGTAGTTTATAAATCCACCTCTTTTCTCGTATTGATTCTTTATGTGGGTTATGTCACTCTGACTAAGCTTGATGTTCTGTAACTCTAGTATTTGCAGAAAAGCAGAGGTTGCAACATACCCACTCTTCTCTTTGATTTTAGTTTTTAAAAAAAGTATTATAAAACTTACAAGAATCACATGTGAAAATAAGTTTCTTAACTTTTTGCTTTATTTTATTGGCTTATTGAACAATCTCGACTAACTTCTAAGTCTAAGATAAAGTTAATAAGAGCAAGAAATTTGTAAAATATTACATCTTGATCCATTAAGATTTATTTAAAAATATAAGTTACTAAGAACTCGTAATGTTTTATTTTCCTTATAATATTTAGTTTTAATAAAGATTTGTATAGATCATGATCGGCGGGGTTTTGGGGTTTTGGGGTTTTGGGG